CCGCCTTGTCTAGGAATGTTTCAATGTCCCCTGTCCCCTTTAATTTTATACGCTTCAAACCTTTGTGCAGCAGGCCTCTGAAGAGAGAAGCATAGTTTCCCTCTGCAGCACATAGCTTTAAATGGAAACTACAATAAGAGGCTGGCTGGGTCTCTCCTCTCCCAGGCTGTGGCCTAATTGTTTTAGAATATTCAAATCACTTCCCAACCTGGGCGACCAGAGAGAGAAAGAGAGGGCGGGTGACATATAAATCCAAACTGACTCGTTCCTTGGGTTTTTTCCACTTCAATGACTATCGGAAATTGAAAAAGGTTTTAGAGACAACAGTTTTCCACACTTCAAACAAGTGCTGTCTGTATCTGGAGTCAGTTGAAATAGAAAAAAACAAACCTTATTTACCACCATTCTCAAAAAAGACGACACAAGCTGCATTAATTCCTTTTAATTTAAATTCATATTAAATCAGCATTAGTTATTTCAATCATTTCCTCTCCCCATCAAATACCATTTTCCTCAACTGCATTGCGTTGACAAAACGCAACGCAGTTGAGGAGAATTTGCATGAAGGCCATTCTGTTGGCAGAATTCAAATGAAGTTAAACAAAGAAGGCGGTGAGATGAGATAAAGCGCAGCTGGGAGAGTTGAAAATTGATTGTTGGACAAATGGTCATGTATCGAGATGCTAATTAATGTGTTGCTCTTTTATCACTCACAGCGATGATCATGGGTGCAATGTGCCAGTTCTGCACAGCCTCCTTTGATCTAACGGACTCAATTCCCAGACGACGGGCAGTGCAGCAGCTGTTTGTCAGGGCGTCCATGGAGCAGTTACTTCTCTACATCCTCAACCTTGTCGTCATGGCCACGTTACTGCCTCAAGACCAGCTGAAGTTGGTGCCGGTACTGGTTGCCATGTTTGTTTTAGGAAGGTGAGGCTAATACTTAATGAGGCTTCTTCATGACAGGCACACACAGATCACATCTAGTCACTTTAAAGAAAACAGTCCAGTAAAGATAAAATGATTTAGCTTCAAGAACACAGAGATGCACATGTTAAAGACTCAATATGGGGATTCCACTGCCATCAAAATAGCTCTTCAAACAGTTGTAATGCATTCCCATCCTAAATGATTGCCTTAAAGTTATAGAACTAAGATCCAACAGAGTTAAAGAAGCCAGGCTAGATTACAACTTTTAGTAATTAAATGCACTCTGGCCGATACACGTCTGCCAAATGTTATGTCAATCCATCTATTTGTTGTTAAGTCATTTCATTCCAGACCACAGATTAAACGTATGCTGGCGCAAAAGCTAACATAATGCATCATCAAAGACAAAAAGATTTGTCCTCATAAGTATAAATGTCCATGCAGCCAGCAGTAATTGTGTTATTTTAGTATAGACCAAAGTGTTGGACTGAAAGACGAACACACCGCTAGTGTAGCTAAAAATGAACACAACCACTGTCATTAACAAAGCCGAGCAGAACATTTGGCAGTGTGTTATAACAGAGAAGTCCACATGAACCCAGCTTCATTTTACTCTCCTACCCGCTCAGTTTGTTGGAGCAGCATCCATGTCAGTACTTTGTTTCACTCAAAGACGATAGTTTAGTTTGTACTAAGTTCTGCATCAATGTGATTGACTACAAAAACTCGATGGGGGGAAAACACCTTCACTTTTTAAATGGAAAAAGTTTGTGTTTGTCATCATTTTAGATTGTTTTTAAAGTAGGCTAATAGTTTAACTCTATTTTTAAAATACACATATTTGTTTTCTTGCCAAGTTGGATGTGAAAACCTGTCGCTATATACCTCATGTTATTGTTTTAAGCAAAGAGAACACATACTAGAGCAGGTAGACAGTTAGCTTAGCTTGGAATCATGCGCAGACAGCTAGCATGACCGTGTTATTACAAAAAACAACATCAACTCACTTTTTTTTACCTGCGGGTTAATTATTAAACTGGACTGTTTTTAGCTAGCTAAGAATCCAGGAAGTTAACGGACCCCGTTTCTGTGCTGTTTACCCAACTAGGCCTCAATCTGAGTGTGTCTACAGGTTTCCTTTAAGATATTTACTTTATTTATTGCCAAGCTCTACAAGTAAAATGCTACAGATATAGTCATGCACCAGTGTTAACAATGTAATCCGGTTATACAGTAATAGATAACAACACAGGGTTGCTGTACTTTCCTTAATGAAATCTTTAAATTCTAAACTTGATGGGAGAGATTCTACAATGTTGAAATGCTAATTTTACTTTGTGTACATTTCTAAATCCCTGCTGAAGTAGGGAGGGAGTTGTGTCAGTGAAGTTAGAACTTGATGTGATTTCCTGTTTTTTTTTTTTTGTTGTTGTTTTATCTCTCTGCAGGCTTGTTTACTGGGTCAGCCTGAATGCGTGCAGCTCTTGGCGAGGTTTCGGCTCCGGTCTGACCTTCTTCCCACTTCTGGCCATGGTTGCTCTCAATCTGTTCCTCATCTACAACCTGAATCTCAAAGAACCACTTCTTGGCTCTCAGGACATCCTCTATAACCAGGTCACCCCCTCTTCCGGGTCAGGGGAGACATCACAAAGTCCGAGTGGCAAACCAGACATCCCCACAGACATCCTGGACTCTCAGTGAGGAGGCAAGCCCAGCTTTTCTTCTTCGGAGAGGAGGAGATCTTTCTAAAAATAGTCCATTCCTGTGGTCTGCTGTTCAGCACAGCAACACACGCTGCCACTATAACCTCCAACGTCTGTGACAGTTTAACTTGCATTTCTGCCCCTCCTATACAGGACCTTTTTATGTGGATTCATGCTTATTATCTGGAACAAAAGAGCTCTTTCAATGCTTGTGTCAGAGACAGACTTTGAACAATGCTGTGGTCTTAAAACATTTGTCCTTTTAAGCTATTCCAGTGCCTATATTTAATGTTTGGAACTCTAAAGTACTTAAACGCTCTGTTATATGTGTGGCTGAATTTGTTTTGACCTTAAAACAACACAAGCAGCTTGAGTTGAAGGACTCTATTATTATTTTTAACTGTTCAAAAAGTTTGTACATGATGAAGACAAAATAAAAGCTGTTTGTAAAAGTCGACTTTCTTTTCTTTTTCCGGCTAGTTTTGAGTTTCTAACTGAGCAACTATTCCTGGAGAAACAACAGCATGCGTTTCCAGCACTGGGGCTGTCATTATGTGATAACACGCTCTCCATGTTCTCTGGCTGCTCTTCATCTCCACCCTGCGCTTGTCTGTGACTGCTGCTGCTGCTGTTTGAGGCTAGTTCATTTTGTGGTGCAAAACGAGGCAGATACCAAAACAGAGAGCTAAATCAGGCTGCACTCGTTTTCTTTTGACAACTTAGTCAAAGGGTAGATTAAAGAGATATCCACATTATTTTAATTAAAGGCAATGCATTGGACTTACGGTATTTATCATGTCAAAAAAACAATATTTTTAGCCTGTAATCCTATAATTTACATGCTCTATCCAGTTTCATGTGAGAAAAGGTTTGGTTCTTTCAACCGAAGATCCAAGACTTAAACTTCTTTCTATCAACTCTGACAGAGTGCAAGAATGAAACCTTGTCTTTCTTTCAATATGGATTTCCTTCACACAAATTCAATACAATAAAAATACTTACAACAAGCCTTTCTTTTATTTTGGTAAGATGTGCACACAGGTGTCAAGAGTAATACATCTCAATGTATCTGAAATAGTAAACATGTAGGTTTATGAGCATGTAAAAAATCGTTTCATATCAACACTGAAATGCGAACAGTAGTGTATAAAAAAGGCTGTTTTATTTGTTTAAAACAAAAATGTTTAAAACGAGTGGCAGTATTATAAAAGCATTTGTTTAACAGAAAGTATAACACTCTACAATATGGGTACTTTTAATATAAAGTAGTTTCTAATTTCTTACTATTACCTAATGATCATTTCAATCACCATTATGTGATTGCTTAAAACTTGATAGATCCTCTGTTAAGGTATTCATATTTAAATTATACCTCATTCATTAGTTGATATAAATGGTTATCCTGATACCAGTTAGACATGTATTTGGGTTGATGCATAAATATATTTATTATAATAAGATAAAAATCTGCTTCTGTCAACCAGTTTGATAAAACATAAAGCTAAAAGAATATATTATTCTGAAATAAAGTCTTATGTAATGGAACCAAGGCAGTTTGATTGCAAATCAATCCAGGTAAAAAAGTATGCAGGAATAAACGTTCCTAAACAGGTTATGTATTAAGGTGTAAGGTAAACATGAATTCTTGATACATCCTGCATCATTCATACATTAAATCATCATGAATTGTACATGTGTTTAGTTCTACTGAAGTATGTTAATTGTGGACTCACTGAAAAATGTTTTCTACAAACTACATTCAGCACTACTCGGTATATCACCATACAACAAATGTCATGTTTCTATTCTTCAAATGTAAAACCATGAGAGTCAGCACACAAAATTGATCAAGTAAAGACTATTTAGGGCTATTGATATTACACATTTTATTAAAAAATATGAAAAGATATGTTGACAATATAATGCACACTAGATATAGATAAGTGTGTGTTATCATTGCTGAACTCAGGGCACCCTGTCAGGTTGACTCAAAGTTACATTCAACCAAAGCCAACTTATTTCTGTATTCAACAACTAAAGTAACAGAAAAATATTGGATACAGTATTTCCCCACAATGATTGTACTGACAGTATGAAAAAAGGCTTGGAAATAGCAATTATATTCTCATTTTGGGAGTTTAGATTAAGAGAAAATCTATCTCAAAAGCAAAAAGAACATTTTAGATTAATATCCTATAAAGATAAATGTAACTGAATGACGCAAATGTTATCCAATAGCACAAATGACAGTCAAACACGGTTAAATAAACCTACATACGGTATTAAAATAGACAACAATTTGACCTTCAGTGAAAACGGTCTTCAACAAAACACCAGCGCCCTCTGCAGCTCGCGCGCTTACAGCACAGGAAGCTGTGTGACGTAACTAAAATCTCAAAGATGGCGGCGTTAGCTGGTGAGTGATGTTTTGGAATAAGACTATACGCTATTACCTAAACTTACAGTGTTTTTTAATACTTGTGTCATTTCGAGAAGTCACGAGTCACGCTTGTAAAATGCTCTACCTCGTTGGTTGACTTTGTAGGAACTCGTGTTGGTGACTTTTAGTGAATGCGCACACTGACCTTGCTCCGCCTGCTTTAGCACGGTGGCTAAACAGGTTAGCTCACGTTTCTCTTACGTGAACTGCAGCTCCTGTAAATGTAGCAGAAGTCGAGGCGAAAGATGACATTCAGCCTACAAATGTCACGGCATCTTTGAAAAGACAATGTTTGGTGTTATATTTTATGTTCATGTGGGCTTGAGACCACACGAACAGTCGTTTATGTTTGGATCAAAGTGGACCAGCTTTCTATTAGTGAGGCTAACTATGTAAATACTGCTGGAATAACCGAATATGTTCATCAAAATCACATCTTATTGTTGTGTTTCTATTAGGTCACCTCTGGTCGTTGAAAAAATAAACACCTGAAATTCTTGTTAATTCACTTAAATGACGATATATACCTTACCCTTATTTGATGCTTTTATTTTGAAAACACCTGAAATTCTTGTTAATTAACTTAAATGACAAATATATCTTATGCTTATTTGATGCTTTTATTTTGAAAACACCTGAAATTCTTGTTAATTCACTTAAATGACAAATATATCTTATGCTTATTTGATGCTTTTATTTTGAAAACACCTGAAATTATTGGTAATTTACTTAAATGACAATATATATCTTACCCTTCTTTGATGCTTTTATTTTGCAGCACCCCGTCTGGCTATGTTTGGCTGCTTCTCAACCAGGTAAAAACCATTTAATCCTGTACCTTGTTGTGAAACTAAATTGGATCCAACTCTGTACTTTGAGGGGTGAAGGTGTTTATCAATGTTACAGGGGTAGTGATGTTACAATGAATTCAACCTCACTGGGCAAAACATGCAGGAGAAATATTCCAAAAATATATATATTTATTTACACATCATACACATCATTCTCTAATCCAGGGGTGTCCAAAGTGCGGCCCGAGGGCCATTTGCGGCCCTTGAGGGGATTTTTTGCGGCCTGTGACTTCAAATGAAGAATCAGAAGTTTTTCAGGTCTTGATTAAGATTGGCACATTATCTTATTTTTATTCATGTTAACAAGGGCTGAATAATATTCCTAAAATAGAAAATGTTCAGTAACATGTATGTTGTTGTTGTTTTTTTTAAATCTACAGCTTTTACTATTTTCCACATTTTGTTGTAAACTATGAAAAAACAACGTATGCAAAGTTTTTTGCAAACAATCGGATTGTTGTTTCACCATTTAATGACCTGAGCTAAATGCAGAAAGCTTTTCCAAAAAAATGAACCACGTTACAGTCTTGATTCTGAGAAAAAAAAAACAAATAAAGTAGAACGAAGAAATCAAAATAATTGATTTCCTTTTGTTAAAGGGTTTCTTTAGCGAGCCTTTTGATTCTGATCTACAAAGCCTTACTATTTTTTCAACTATATTTTATAAAACAAATCCTGTGGCCCGCAAGCGATTCTAACGCGACAATTTTGGCCTGCAAGAAAAAAAGTTTGGACACCACTGCTCTAACCTATTGCTGTTTATCTGTTTATTGTCTGTAATTGTAATGTTATTTTTGAAGTGGGAATGTTTGATATCATAAAACAAAAACAAAATTAAACAATGTTCACTCAAACAGAAGTGCCTGACAGGCTGTGGAGTCTCTGTTTTGGCAACAGGAGCCTTCAGCCTGTGTGCTGTTTGGAGAGAACAGCCACGTTAATCCTTTAAGGCGTTGCTTAGTTTAGGAAGCTAAAAAAATCAAAACTTCCCACATAAAAATCTTTAAAACTGTCAACCATGCACAAGATCTTAAAATGGTGACAGTCCACACGACACTGTTAACATATTGACCTCCTGTGAACTGACTGTGTCTGGTTGTCGACTACTTTATTGGCTAATTTCAAATTTTTCTGATTTTAGAATATAATAAATTAACTTTCCAATTCCCTTTTGGGTCATTCAGTCTATCAAGTTTGAATCCTTTTCTTGCTGCAATTCTTCGTTTACATTTTCTCACCTGACCTGCTCTACCTCCTGAAGGCCTTTATCAGCGTTTGCTGTCCAGCAGAAGAGTTTGCATTGCGCAGCAAAAATAGAGAATACCACAAGGTAAGTTTAACAGCAGTACTCAAGTCACTAGAGTACCACATACACTAGACTTTAGTGCATGTATCCAAATAAAGACCAGAGACAAAGGTAACTCTGTGTACATACTTAAGATCTCCTCCAACCGACTGTTTCAGTGTGGTTCCAGTAAGAGAGAAGAGCACAGCGGTGGCAGCAGCCAAACCAGCAGCTGTAGCCAGCAGCAAGGGGGAGTATGTTATCACTAAGCTTGATGACTTGGTGAACTGGGCACGCAGGGTGAGTAGATAACAGTTATTAGTCTTTGCTAATACCCATTTAAGGTACACTACATGTTAATTTGTTGAAGATAATTGCATTATTGATTGCAGTTTCCAAACATGAAAATAAAATGAACTCCAATGTATGAAGAATTGTTTCGGGACTGTTTGGTGTTTGTCCAAAATGCTGCATAATTGTTGCAGTTTCATTAGGAAATTTCAATTAAGTCTTTCACCTAATTGCAGTTTTGCCTTGTGACTTTTCTGAGCTTAACACATGTCTGAAACCTTTTCTTAGTATGCCTTGTTTGCTGTTGAGGTTTATTTTTCACATTAGGCAAGGCAATGCTAATAGATGCAGCAGCACATGAGTCATTTTGAGTTCAGTAGCAATGCACAGTAGATGTCAGCAGTATAAGATACATTTGTTCAGTTTTGCTGACAAAACAATCCAGTTAGACGTTCATAAAAAAAAAACAAAGAGGTGTTGTCTGACTTTCTATGGCTTTACTTTCAAATGCAGCTCATGTATAGCAACAAGTACATCTATGCCAAAACCAGGATTCCAAACACTGAATGAGTCAGTGTAGCTAAATGATTCATACGGTCTATATGTGCTTAACAAAGAGTTGACGAGAGTAATGTTGTTTAGTGTATTCTTGACGATTTTGTGTATTATTGTCTTGGCGTTTTCTTGAATCATCCTTTGTCTGCTTCCACACAGAGCTCTCTGTGGCCTATGACCTTTGGCCTGGCATGCTGTGCGGTGGAGATGATGCACATGGCGGCCCCTCGTTACGACATGGACCGTTTCGGAGTGGTGTTCAGAGCAAGTCCCCGACAGTCTGATGTCATGATTGTGGCAGGAACGCTGACCAATAAGATGGCTCCGGCTCTACGCAAGGTAGGGAAAGAGTGTGATGTGATAGCAGCTACTGGCACCATTTGATATTTAACAACATAGTGACTGTTGTAACTTGTGAAATGGAGGAAAAAAAAAAAAAGATTGAAAACCCTGTTTAAGATGGTTAAACAGTTGAGAGTGATCGCGCTCAGACATTTCTGTGTGCAGGATAGGAGTGCTGAGAACAGTATAGCTGTTTAAACGCAGGCAGGATTAAGACCAGTCTGGCATTGGATTGGTAGACTGGCACAAATCCTCCCTCCAGCAGAAGCACAGAGTCTTTGTTAGTCAGACATTATATAAGATAGAATGAACTGCGTCTTCTCTCCAACAGGTGTACGACCAGATGCCTGAGCCCAGATACGTCATCTCTATGGGCAGGTGAGTCAACTCCGGCTGATATAATTAGGTTACTAATAGTGTCATCTGTCCTGTATTCATGAATTCTCCACAGCTAATCTGACACTCCCCTCTTCCGAGATTCATAAGTATTTGATGTGATTTTGTTTACTTCTGCTTTTCCCCTCTCTCACTTAATAGCCAAAGCCTTATATTGGTAGCCAAAAGATTTTCATTACATTTTACACACCACAAAGTTTAACTGAAAGTTAAAAACGTATGAGTTCAGTCACTGTGTATCTTATTCTGCTTCGACTGTGCTGTAAGTAGAATGTTGTTTTCACTTTTGTGTGTCTGTTTCTTACTATATGGATGCAAAGTGATGTTCTAAACCTTTACATTATACTTTATAACAATATACGTATATCCTCATCATTTTCTTCTTACAGTTGTGCCAATGGAGGTGGCTACTATCACTACTCCTACGCCGTTGTCAGGGGCTGCGACAGAATCGTACCAGTGGACATTTATGTTCCAGGTAAACTTCACTGTGCAATATGGAAAAGATAAGATTCACTAATTTCATCTGCTATAAGAAATGCTTTATTTAAAAAAAAAAAAAATGTGGTAAGTGTTCTTTTAACTTCTGGCAACACTTTGCACAAGACCCTTTTCTGTTTCAAGTGATTTCATACCAACATTTCTTCAGACTTCTCGAGACAAACTGTCTATTTGAGAGAATATGGAACCAATGCTTAGGTGTGCATATACTGTTGGCCATTTAGATTGAGTCCTAAAGCTGAAACTAAGTGCCTATGTTGGCAATTAGCCTGGATAACATGTAGAAACTGAAGTAGTAACATTAGTGAAGGTGATAACTGCTTGATTTTTTTGTCTTTGTCTCATATACAGACCTCTCCATACTGTACAGGACAGTCATCATTTGGCTGTGTTTCATAGGCCTCTGTACGGCCATGACTCTGTGAAGTGAAATTGAGTTTCTCCGTTATTTCCCCTCCTGTCCTCAGGTTGTCCCCCCACCGCAGAGGCTCTCCTGTACGGGACTCTGCAGCTTCAGAAGAAAATCAAGCGCGAGAAGAAGATGAGGATCTGGTATAGGAAGTGAATGTGTATATGTGTATCTGCTATGTAAATCTTGTATTTCTGGTTTTATTTGGAGCACTGCTCCTCCTCAATATAGAGCTTCAGTAACCAACTTCAATAAAATCATTGTGGTCATCATGTTCGCACATATTATTATTATGCTGCTTACTTTCAACCAAACACAGGAGTTGTCACTTAGTTCATTGTTTCTGCTCCTTCAATTCAGTTTGAACATCTGGAGATGTGCTGTAAGTGGAAACATGGAGAAATAACATAACTTTGATTTAAGTAGCCATGTGCATATTTATTCTTCCTATCAACCTCAATACTTCATTAGGGTAAGGGGGAAGTGTTATCCTGTATTATCTTCAATATTTTTCAATAAACTGAGCTCATGAAAGTACTTAATTTTTATGTCGGTCTTTCAACTTTGGACACTGAAGCATAGTTTAAGCCACTAGGGGGCTCCAGTGATCATCAACTCTGACCTCTACACATCTCTGTCGGTATGCTTTATTGTTATGATATTGGACCAAGAAAGCATGGTCTGCTAAATCACTTTAAAAATGTCTGTTAACAGCTCAAATTAAACTAAACTAAATCAGCTTTGCATATTTAGAATTGTAATCCAGTTTTAATACTTCCGTATGCAGAGAGAGAGCAGAATAGTTTTTAAATATCTCCAGTAAGAATCAAACGACTCGTAGTCCTCTGTGCTGCTGAGCCTGTGATGGCTGTTCAGTATAAAAGTGATTGAATTATGACCGCCATGTAAACATAAATCATTTTCTCTGAGGGTTGGTGGACGTTAAAAGTTTTAAACCAGCATGTTTATGATGAGGCTGCGATTCTTATAATATGAAATTACATGAGATGAGAAGCAGAATGCCTGATTAAAAAATAAAATAATTCAGTAATAAATCAAAATAAGAAACATTTACTTTTGTCCTTGTAAATACATTTCCAAATAATTTTTGTCTGAGATATGAACTCATCAAGAAAACTTGTCAGAGCTCTCTGGTGAGAAACTGTATGATGTCTAAATAACCCTAAACAAACAGTGTCTGGTGTTTCTTTGCTGTAATAACCTTTATGAGCCATTCAGTTTGCTCATACAAGAGACATATAACTTAAATATGATAAAGGTAAAACAAAGTATAACAAATTACAGCACATCCCTTTTGTGTAATAATCATTTTTCAATATCTAATATTGCTGTAATGCTGTAGGGTGTCAATTTACCTTTACCTTATCTTGGCCTGTAGCTTCCATTTTTTAAAATGAATTAATCAGCTGGTACTTTTTTTTCAACATATTAATGCTTTTGTCCATAAAACATTAAAAAAAGGGAAAAATCCTTGAATGATTCCCCCAACCACAGGAGGAATCATTACATCCATTGTTTATGTGCCTGACAGCTTAAACCCCCAAACATACTCCATTCATTACCAGAAATTACAAAGAGAGGGAACACATCTTCATGTTTGAGGAGCTGGAACCAGGACACTTTTATCTTGAAAACTCAACACTATCCATGATCCACTTCCTGTTTCATAGCTTGGAGTTACCGTACTTCTGGCCCATCTGAGCCGTTTTCGCCTCTTCATATTTCTTTGTATGAGAGTGTTGGTTTTAAAAATGAGTCATGTGCTCCTGATCCAGGTCTGAGATTCACCAGCTGCTCTAGTTCCCCAGCTGACTCCAGGTGTTGCGTCATCCATCCTTCTAATGATTAATGCCTCCTGGCCAGGTGGTAACTGATTCCCCTGTGTTCGGATAACCTGCACCGTTATCTACCACCATAAATACAACAGCATGTATAATGCACTCTGTTCAGCCCAGTCCACTTTTTAACAGCTAAAACAGTGTATTACAGCTTTATCAGGACAATTCAGACGAAAATGTACTAAAGCATGACAGCATTGTTCAATGCATACTTTTTTTTCAGGGAGCCTTTTATCAAATTTGGCCAGGGACAACGGATGTAAATTAGACTTCTGACTAACTCTGGCATATTTACAGAAATGTTTATTAATATGCAATGTCCCTGTAAAATAAAAAATAAATAGATAGCCACTATTTTTTAACTTGACAAAATAGGTCAAATTAAAGATGTTACTGTTAACCTGCATACATTTATCATTTTATTTTAAGAGGTCATTACAAACTGGTTTCTCCTTAAAACACTCGCCTGACATAAATATCACTGAGCTAGTGTGTATTCATTTGTCAACATATTGCCACAGGAATTCCACGTCTTTCTGTTAAACAGTCATGTCCTAATTTTGGCCTACTCTCTGCAGTTTATGAAGAACACATTCGATCGTGCCGGGATAGTCTAAAACTGGAGTACACATGGTGGGCGGGGGGTTTCAGTGATTTATGACCTAAAACAGAGGAGGCTCAGTGGGTGAAAATGCACCTTTGTTGGTGTCATGTTGTGTTTTTGCAGCTGTGATGAGTAAATTGTGTCGATAAGCTGATGCAGCACAGACTGCTACGAGAGAACAGCTACTCAACCATGCCGAAAGCTTCACATCAGGCCAAGAGGTTTGTACAGTCTGATGTTGACAGTGAACCACATGGGAATAGAACCTATGCTTAAATATCAGTACAATAACTCAAGCACTTTGTAAACTGACAGTGGTTGGTTGGATTTATTTATTTATTGAATAATCGGTATGACAGAATGATGAGGTCACTTGAGAAGGCACATTGGAGTAAAAAAAAAAAAAAAGTTGCAGTAATGGACTTTAGTCCTTGACGATGGTGGGAGTGATCATCTTATTGAAGGAATAATATTTGCAATCGCTGGGTGGTGCAATGTCCATGGTGGTGGTGCTAACCTTCTCCTTCTTGAAGCCGGCTTGGAGCAGGTGAGGCATCTGGGTCTCCTGAAAATCATTAACAGACGGAGCGAGTCAGCATTAGGCAGCTCAGTCCGGTTTATCAGTAACCTTGAGTAGTTGAAGGACGAAAATTGAGATGAACTCCGCTCAACCTTGATTGGCCAGAATCAGTGCTGGGCGATAAGAATAAATATCAGAAACATAACTCTACACAGTCTGCTACATTTTTACACTCAACGACACAAGGAACAATCAAGAAGCACACACTGACCGCTCAAAAACAAAGTTACATTAAATTTCGACCAATATCACTGATCGGAGTCATGTTTTTAAGTTTTCACTGATTTCCATGTTCACTTTATTCATAATTAAGAGATACTTTATTAACTGAAATCTCATCACTAAAACTCCAACTGACATCCAGCTAATGACAATCAGATGCTCTAAACATACGATGGAAGTCTTCAAACCATACATTTCCTGATCACAATCTTTATTAATCATTTTGATTGTGGTCACTTAGTCAGATAGAATACATGTAATAACATTTACTTTTTTCCAAATAACAGAAACATTTTAAATATTTTTTTAAATAAAAGTATATATTCGTGTAAAAGTTGTTTGAAGCAATGTTTTGAAAACATCCCTCAAGCTAAACACATTAAATTTTTGTAAGCATGTGGTGATTTTTCACTTGAATAAGATCTCTGTTGTGTGGGTTGAGTATAAGTTATTATGGAGCAAAAGTAACTTTTTGGGTAATTAGAGAGTAATGTGGATTGCAGGGGACCAACCTCAAACATCTTCTCAATGTTGTCGTATTTAGTCTTGAGCAGCTCACCCCAGGAGGTCAGGTTGCAGTAGGTGAGGACACCGCCGGTCTTAAGCAGCCTGTGAGCGTGACCCTGCAAAGTAACACATACAAAACCAAATCAATCAGTCCTTTAGCTTTAAAAGGACGTGACCTGAAGCAGACAGACTGGCCCCAAATAAAGCCAAATGTATGACTGATGTCAACATCTTGACATTAAGGCATTCTAACTGTATCCTTCTGTATCCTTACTCCACTTTTCATGCAAACAATTCAATGTATTTGTAGTAATCCTCCTCCTGAATTTAAATCTCCTCAGAGCAGGGCTGTATAAAGTGTAACTACCCACCTTAATAAAGTCAAACTGGTGAGTGTGCCATGTTTCCTCTGACAGAGGGTATGTGTCATACAGGATACCTGGTTAGAGAGGGACACAGTGGAGTCTGTGATTATACAATATGGAAATCTTTTTTTTCTGCATCTCATTTATTGTTACGTTATTTATATTTTCATCCATAATGTTGTGTCATGGGACAATAGCTCAGAGTCTGTTCCTCAAACAAAAACACAATTCTGAATGGATGCTGCATCCCTGCATTAAGTTCAGCAATCCAAAACTTGGCTGCAGTGCTGCTTTTTCAACCTGATGCGGTGCCACCTTAAAATGTATTCCTCGTGTTTTGATAAACATCATGACAGTGCCATTGTTTTGATGTGAAAAAAGTCTCCATATACAGTTTGTTTGATTCATATTAAATGTCTACTCCAAATTCTGTGAGAAAAAGTTCTGTCTTGACTGGTATGATGTCTTACCATCAAAGTGGTTGTCTGGCAGCGTGGGGACAACTTCCTCCCAGAGGCCCTTCAGAGGGACGACCTGCAGCAGCATAAAGAACAATTTCAACAACAGTAAATTAGACCTGCAGACAGTTAACACACAAGCTACAAAAATATCTGTCAAACACTAATATGGGTAGATTGTATTGGCCTACTAACCTTATGTGGCTGAGATTTGGCCCAATTCTCCAGTCTGGCAAAGACGCCATCGTTGCACTCGATGATCCAGTGCTCCTCGATGGGGAAAGACTCCATTTTTGTGGCAGCAATGGCCATGCCAAAACCAATCTCCAGAACCCGACCACCTTTAAGACAGTACACCAAACAACAACAACAACAACAACAAAACAAACAAGAAAGAAAATATTTTTTTATTTAGCTGAAGCTTTCCAGTGACTTCATTCCAGCCAAGAACCTCAAATCTCAGATGAAACAGAATTCATCATTGTTGGGAAAGGTTTAACTTTTCTCCTTCTGTTGGGAGGGGAGCTAGTTGGTTGTAACATGTGGTTGGACAGAAAGGCCAAAGGGTTTCATTTCCCTAGCATATAAATAGATGAGGGGTAAAGGCTATTTGTCAACTGCCCCCTTCATAATAATTTATTGGGATTGAATCAGCATTTTAGTGTAACCTTCATTTCATTCATTTTTGTATACACCAAAGACAAATTGACCCAAAGCTGCATGCAGCTGAAAACATTTCAGGTAAGGCACTAAAGTTCAAAAGAAATACACAAAAATCCTCTGGCTTGAGAAAAAAAATACATTATATAATCATGGAAAATGCATTTCAGTGTCCAACTACACTATAAGTGTCATGCCTGTGCAAGGAAAACATGCATTTGAACAGTGTTGTGCAGACAGTTTCAGTGCACTTGCTTGTCCCTTCCCACATGTCTGCGAGGG